TAACAAAAAATATACAAAGTAAAATTACTCCAACTCAAGCTGTAGACTTTGTTATTAATAGTGCTTCTAGGTAAATATTTAATTAGTATAACTATTTCATAACTGTAATAACAAATATGCAATATTATTATGGTACTTCATTTGTTTTATACTTATTACTTTAGTTCTAAACGAGGAAGACGTATTCGTGTTCAACCTACTTCAGTGGCTAGGAGATGCGGAAACTACAAGGGTACGCATCGAATTAATGCAGGAAGACCTCCTACAGAAAGTTACTGCACAGCTGGTAGACATACAATTACAAAAAAAAAAAATCAAGCCGCCTAAGCGTCTTCATAATTTAACGCAATGTTTAAATTTAAATATAAATAATGCCAAATCTCACTAATAAAACAATTATAAAATCATGTATTATTTTTTTTTTCTAGTATACTACTGTTCTGCAGGTATATATTTTAAGAATTCCTGCTATTTACAATATTTGCTCTCTTTAATATTTATTAATAGTATTTAATATTTACAACGTTATCTAACTTTGTTCAGATTTAGAATATAATATAATTAAATTAAGGTGGATTATTATAAAGTTTCGATTTTATTGTATTATAATTTACTAGCTGACATACAAAATTACTATAGTCACTTAAAGTATATTTATCTGTATAAAAATAATAACGTAATAATCACGATTTGATATTTGATATAAAGTGATAAGAGTGTTATTGATATTTTGATAAAAAAAATTATAAAAAAATATAAAAAAATTATATTTAGATTTATATTTAAATTATATTTAAATTATATATTAGAACACATTATATATTATCACGATTTGATATTTGATAGTTATAAAGTGATATTTGAAATAAAGTGATAAGAAAAAAGCGGGAATTCAAATGGGCCAATCAGAGCAACCCGGTTCTGAGTGTACCCACATTTGCAAAATACGCAGCCGGGTATTACCTCAATCACGCGCCCCATGCGCCATTTCAACGGCGGAGCGTGGGCGTCTTTAATTACAACTATATCATTGACCTCTATGTTGGGGGCATCCTTGGTCCACTTACTACGGATTTGGAGTGTTTGAAGGTATTCACTACGCCAGCGGCGCCAAAATGCTTGCACGCATTGGCTGACCAACTTCCACTGCTGCTCCAAGGGCTTAGTCGTAAGTGGAATGTCCGCTTCAGGGACGGCGAGTAATGGTCGGCCAATCAGAAAATGACCTGGTGTCAAATAGTCTAAGTCCAATGGGGAAATTACTTGACCATTTTTTGAGATCCAGACCGGCGCGGCCCTCGGCAGGTCTGGCACGGACAACAACGGCCGGCCAATCAGAAAATGACCCGGAGTTAGGCATTCAAGTTCAGCGGGGTCTGACGAGGCGGGAGTTATCGGCCGAGAATTTAAGATAGCTTCGCATCTACTCAGGACGGTGCTGAACTCTTCGATGGTGAAATTGTGCTCCCCCATAATGCGCGTCAACAGCGATTTGGATGAGCGAACTGCTGCCTCCCAGAGCCCACCGAAATGAGGGGCACCGGGAGGATTGAAATGCCACGTACAATGGACACTAGCCGTTAGTTGGTCGCGGCAAGCGGGATCATCGACTAGAGCGCGAAGCAAATTGTTTGCCCCAACAAAATTGGTGCCACAATCGCTGTAAATGTCGGTAGGCAGACCTCGGCGTGCGACGAACCTATGTAACGCTGCGATAAAAGCCCCAGTGCTCATGTCAGATACGTATTCAAGATGTACCGCGCGTATCGTGAAGCACACAAATACGGCAAGATACATTTTGTACTGGCGCGGCTTCCGAAGTCGATTCTCTTTGACGGAAAAGGGACCCGCATAATCCACTCCAACCCTCGCAAACGGGTGGCATTCTGTCACTCGTGACGCTGGTAAATCCGCCATTATTGGCTCAGGATTTTTGGCCGTAATGCGTACGCACGTAGTGCATCGGCTAATGATCGTACGGATTAATGTGCGGACTGATAATATCCAATATTGACGACAAACCAAAGAAGAAACGATTTGCGGACCACTGTGACCTGTGATGTCATGCCAGTGCCGGATTAAAAGGACGGAGAAATGCGAGGTCTTGGACAACAGCACGGGGTGTTTTTGATCATCAGGCAAGTCTGATTTAGACAACCGACCGCCAACTCGTACCAGATTTTCACTGTCAAGGAACGGACGTAGACGCGCCAATAATCGCGCCGAGGGCGCTCGCCCCTGCGACAACTCACGAATCAACGTACTAAAGTGAAAACCTTGTGACGACCGCGCAATCAAAAGTGCTGCCTGGTCGAGCTCTTCTCGAGATAAGTGTCCATTGTCAATTGGTTTCTTCCTGCATCGCGAGATGAACCGAAGCATACGTGCAGTGGTTCGGACTGCTTGCACATAAGAGGAGAACCGCTCAAACCACTCATGTTCCTCTTCTTGAATGACCAACACTTTTGACGATCCCACCTTACGTTCAGGTAGTTGGTCGGCTGTATTAATTGGGATATACGGATCCCATTGTTGAGGTGACAGAGACAGACATGGTGGACCGTTAAAATACAAATTATGTTGGATGAAATCCGATGGGGTGAGCCCTCGTGAACCACAGTCAGCCGGGTTGAGAGCTGATTCGATATAATGCCACTGACATGTGGGTACCAACGACTGAATTTTGTAAATTCGGTTTGACACGAATATTTTGAATGACTCATGCGGGGACCTCAACCAACTCAACACTGTGGTAGAATCCGACTAGGCATGTATGTCGGTAATGTGCAGCTTGAGGTTCAATGTGACTGTCAGGCGACTCATCCAACGAGAGAGCAAGAGCGCCGCACATAATTCCAATCTTGGAATTGTCGAGGATTTCAAAGGGGCAATCTTTGATCGTGCTCCAAGTAGTGAGATGACAGGGTTGCCTGACGAGCCAGTCACTCTGAGGTACACCACAGCTGCATAGCCGGTTGACGACGCGTTACAAAACCCACACATGGAACACTGCATTTCTCGGCGTGTGCCGATGAATCGAGGTATGCGAACACATTGCAAATTGGGTAAGTCATCGACGAAGTTGCACCAAGGTTCCGCAATTTCTTGAGGCAGTGGTTCATCCCATGAAAGCCCAGCTTTCCACACACGTTGCATTAGCGCTTTAGCAAAAAATGTGACAGGGGATATTAGTCCAAGTGGATCGAACATTCGTGCTATCAATGATAACATGCCACGTTTCGTGGATACGTGCCGTTCGGGTTGAAAATTATAAATGAACGTATCATCCTGATGAGACCATTGTAGACCTAATACCTTTGTTCCGGTGCCGGCAGAATCGTCGAGCGCCAATGGTTCGTACGCCCTGTCCTCGGAGGGAACCTTATCGAGTATGAAGGTAGTATTGCTGGCCCATTTTTTCAACTCCATACCAGCACGCTGCAAAACTTGAATAAGACCATCTGGGAGAGAGAGAACTTCGTCTAACGTGTCACCACCAACGCAGATGTCATCCACATATGTTTGATATAATAGGGCTTCCTTTACATACGGAAAATCGTTACACTCAAGCTCCGCAATGGACCGCAGCACTTTTATCGCGAGGTAGGGTGCGCAGTTGACCCCATAAGTCACAGTATTAAGCTCATACACTTGCAACTTTTGTTCGGGCGATGACCTCCACAAGATATGTTGGTATCGTCGATGCGATGGAGACAAGGAGATTTGACGGTACATCTTGCTTATATCCGTCGTGAAGGCAAAACGGTGGACTCGATACAGTAATAAGACATCCACAACATCGCGCTGCAGCTTTGGTCCCGAAAACAAGCAATCGTTCAAGGAAACTCCCGAGCATGACATCGCCGAAGCATCAAACACAACGCGGATTTTCGGGTTAATATCGGCAGGACGGTAGACGGCATGGTGTGGGATAAAATAGTCCCCCTCGGACTTTGCTGGAGACATGTGTCCCAGCGTCAAATATTCAGACATGAAGTCGCAATATAAACTGCGAAGACGAGGATCGTTGGTCAATTTCTTTTCTAAGTGCTGAAATCGCTTCTCAGCTACAGCGTGCGATCCACGAAAATTGCCATCGGGAATTGCTTTACGGAACAGGAGCGGTACGCAAAAACGACCAGAACTATCACGGGTACATCCGTCGCGAAATATTGCCTCACACTGTCCATCTTGCGTAAATTCTTCAGGTGCCGCGTCTGGTTCTTCGAGCGCCCAGAACCTCTCTAACAACGTTTCCACTGAAGCAGTAAGTGATGCGTGGCATGACACGGAAACATTAGATGATGAAATTGAAACCGGCCCGATAACAGTCCAGCCGAACACAGTTCCGAAGGCCGCTGGGAACGCATCGCCGACCGACACACGTTTTCCATTTAAAATTTGGGCAAACAGATCCGCGCCCAGTAAAACGTCAATGGTACCGGGGTTAATGAATGACGGATCTGCTAAGGCAAGATGTTGATATTTTTCTGCAATAGAGCGTGATAGTGGGTGTCGCGGCATTTCAGCCGTTATCGATGGAAACACCCATGCATCAAAATTGAAAACTGGTTCCGGTGAAAATCTGGGTTGTGCTTGGCAATGGACAATTCCTAAAACATTTTGTACTGAAACTCCACCAAAACCGGTCACAGGTGCTGTCCACTTTCGCATCCGGAGTCCCAAACGATTTTTACACTCTGAAGTGATAGCACTAATTTGTGAGGCTGAATCGATCAGCGCTCGCACCGTATGCAGTACACCGACGCTGTCAGCCATGTGTATAAGAGCTGTCCCGAGGATGACTGAAGTCAACGTATTTTGACCAAGACATGACGATGTAGTGGCCACATCCGATTGCCCTACCTTCGATGAGCTCTCTTCCTTGGCGGTTGTTGCAGGTCCAGCCGAATGCAATAGTGTATGGTGCCATCGGGAACATTGACCACAAACATTCGACGACTTGCATTTTGTCACCCAATGTCCGGTACGTAGGCATCGAAAACATATCCGCTGATCTCGTGCCCAAGTATTACGCATTTCTTGCGTCCAACCTTTAAACTTTGGACATGATGTCAGACCATGCGTACCATTGCAACATTTGCAAGACTGTGCTGCGTTTGACGGATTGCTGCTTGTAACCATGGAAGTGTGCTGCGGCGGCTTCTTCGTATTATGTGAAGTAGGCTTTGAAGTTTTGTGAGAGTTTGGCTGTTTCGATGTAGGCTCTTGTGGAATGCATTCTAAAATGGCCACACGAGATTTCACAAACCTCAATAAATCATGAACCGTAGGAAAACCGTTGACTAATTGGGCTTCGAACAACTTGATAGTATAGGTAGGCAAGCACCGGGAAGCTATAGAGAATAATATAAAATCACCTAAATTAGGTATATTCAGGGACTCAAGCAGCGACACCCCTTCGTCGAAGGCTACCAACAATTTGTTCAATTCAATTAAGCTTTCGGAAGAAGCTCGCGGTGCGATTAACAATTTTTCGACTAAGGAACGTGCGACCAAACGTGGTTTGTCAAATCTTTCTTCGAGAGTGGACCACACCAACTTGTAATTTTTGTCTGATACAGGGATGCCCCGAATAGCATCTAGCGCGGTCCCCTTGCAACATCCCACCAAGTAGTAAAATTTTTCAATGTCGGACAAATATGTTCGGCGATCCATTGTAGTAACAAAACGATCTCGAAATGAAACCCTCAAACTTGGGAAGCGGGATGTCAGGTAAGCGGGTAGGCTTGACGACTTGGACACTATTAGATCCTAGTGAGCCAGCGTTATTGGATTGGACGCCACCCGGGCTAACATCTACAACCACATTGTCAGGAATCGATTGCTCGTCTGGCGTTGGGACACCCCGTCCCGCATTGTTCAGCGACACTTGTGAACCACCGTGTGTAGACTCTATTGTTTTATCGGGACAGTATTGCATAAATCGATTGGCGATTGCTTTTGCGGAACAGACCAATTCGAAGATTTCGACGCTCTCGGTATCAGGATATTCGCCGTCTAACCCTAAATCCAACAAATGACCCAGCAACGCTTCATCTTCAATGGTAAACGACGATAACAACTGATCAAGGGTTTCAACCATCACTAATAACCGAGGTATTACAGACGTATCCTCCGAGCTCTGAATGGCCAGACTGTGAATTGCACGGATTTTTTTCACGTAGTTCATGCGTTTTATTTCGCAGCTACGTTTCAAACGCTGGACCCGGGCATCTCCCTCGTCTACTGACATGATGACGGATTTTGCGGAAAAATAAAATTAAATGCCAAGCGCAAGAAAATGAAGAGCGAGAAAAAATAAATAAATAAATAAATACAAATTTATTTATATATGTGCAATTTAATGCTCACGAGTTAGTAAATTGACAAGTAATAAATCACGCAGGCGCAACCAAATTAATTATTTTTAACACAACGCGTAGCGCGAATATGCAAAATAATGATAAAATTATTAAAACGCAAATAAAAAAAAATAAACGAAACGCGACACTAAGCGCGTGATTATGCGAAATAACAATAAAAGTATTAATAAATGCGAAAATAAATAATCGAATCCAGTTGGTACGACTTTCGCGGATCGATGATGGGGAAAAAATTGTTAATGCAAAATAATCGATACTAATAATTTATAACTCCGCGACAGTAAGCGCGATGTTTTACGCGAACTAATATTACAAAAGATTATTAATCGCTACATAAGTATAAAGGCACGACACTACTCGCGACTCTTATTAAGTTAATAAATAAAACAACCTTAGGAACGCGTTTTTTACGCAAAAATAATAATACCCACAAATGTTAAATAAATAAAGTATGATAATACGCGCGATTTACGCAAACAAAATAAGACACGCCAATGAATGCGTTTTTTTTACACGAATTAATAATGCACAAAGTTAATCGCAAAATAAGTACATAAAATTGCTCGCGAAATGACGTATGGAAGAACGGAGATATAGGAATTTGCAATATTGCTACTTAGGACGGGCCCATAGATCCTAAAACAGTATAAAACAGGAATACAGGATATTATGGATTTAACCACGCTCTGCTACCAGAAATGTGGCACGGACCCTTACTGCCGACCCAGAGGTCGTCGACCGATCCGGCTACACTTAAAATAATACAATAATTGAATGTCACTGTTCTATAAGTTCCCTAATATGACTGACCCAAAACAATTGCGCTAGGCACTCAAACGCAGATCAGTGAAAAGTACGGACACCTTAGGTTACATAAATATAAATATCAATAATAAATAATAAATACAAATTGTATGTTATTATGACGTGCCAGAAACACGATAATTATTGTTATACGACGACAAAATTATAATAACAACAACATCGAGCTTATAAAAATATGGGCGCCCAGACAACTTAAATAATAATTGTATAATTTAACACTGTGCAAATAAAGCTATGCTAACTAATACATGTTGGTAAACAACAGATCATTGATACTGACAAATTGATAATGATATAATCACCGGTCCCCTTTCTATAAGTAGTGCTGCCACTCGACGTTTTCTCGCGGCCCGCTGGTCCACGCGACGCTGCGTAATTGGCCCACGGGAAATTCCACGGCAGCTCACCAACCCTCGGCAAACACCAGCAATCCGCGGTCGGCGACGGAACCACCAAACATCCGAGCTCTGACCCAAAAGTGGTAGAACAGTCGACATGATCAATCCAATATACGACACACACGTCACCGATACTCCGCGTGACACGAAAGCGACAGCCGTAATAATATTAACCATGGACGGTGAACTGTCGCAGCAAGAGCATGAGCATGCGACAACAAAACGAACCACGTGTGATCGACGGGAGAATGGACGGACTAATAATTATTACCACACGGAATATAAGCGCCACGGCCGATGAGCAAGTCGGCACACTCACGAGCCACAATATTACTCGGGCGCCAATCTGTCGTGCAATACCTTGCCAAATCGGCGGCTTGTGCCGTTGCAACGGACAGACGAGTACTGGTCGAAATTATATTTGTCAAGTTCCCGGTGATAGATATGGAACAGGCGGGGCGGGGGGTATCGAACATTCTAGATGCCGGATCGACGATAATGACCAGCAACAATAAATAGCCGATAACGTCTCGGCGATTCATTACGTCGATTAATATAATACTATATATATCTGACAGCAGGTAAAGAAGCTGTCCAAGGGTTGGAAGTTTCTACAAAAATAGTTATGGAGTTGACACATGAATATTTAAATTTCGGTAGGACAATTTATACGGACAACTGGTATACGAGCGTTTATTTGGCACATAAACTCTTGGAACAAAATACTCATTTAGTTGGGACACTAAGGGCCAATAGAAAACAAAACCCAAAGGATGTAGTACAAAAGAAACTGAAAAAAGGACAAGTTATAGCGCTACAGAGTGACCTAGGTATAGTTGTTCTAAAGTGGAAAGACAAAAGAGATGTCCTTATGCTCTCCACTAAACATTCAGACACTATGATTGAAACAATAAATAAACGTGGTCAAACTACAAAAAAACCAGAAATTGTTATTGATTATAACAAAGGAAAAGCTTTGGTTGACATATGTGATCAGAGGTCCTCATACCACAGTCCACTAAGAAAATCCATGAAATGGTATAGGAAAGTGGCAATTGAAATAATACTTAGTACTTCAGTTTTAAATGCAATGTGCTTATATAATAAAGTAAATAAAACGAAAATTGGAATTACTGAATTTAAAGAAATGTTGGTAAAAGATATGTGTGGTGCTTATGAAGAAACCGATAAAGTCGAAGTTGAACACAAACTATCTAAATCTGGAAAAAGAACGCGATGTGTGAAATGTTACGATGAAATGGTAAAACAAGGGGGAAGAAAACATGCTCAGAGAATATCGAAACAATCAAATTATTGGTGTGCAGCTTGCCAGAAAGTGTACTGCATCGAATGTTTTTTTGTTGACCACAGAGTCCGGGCAAAATAACCATAATGTTATTTGTAAATAGTATTGATTGAAAAGGATAAAAAATTATGTTTTTAATTTGTTTTATCTATAATTTGCTGTAATTATATTTTATAAGTTAATTAGTTTTATGAATTTATGATATAATAATATGATCAATTTATAAACAATTTTCTACCAAAATAAAAATAAAAATATGTTACATTAAGTTTAAATTTGTATAATTTTACTTACCTACTTGCCGGTACCCATACTGGTAATTAATTTGATAGTATATTGATATTTAATTAGAGTAAAATAGATAATTTTATGGTGCATTATATACCTATATCACAATACGTACAAAACAATGAAAATTTCTCCCGCTTTTTATAACCTAATATTCAATTTTTTCTCCTCTTTTTAGTGGTGCACATGAATGAGAGTTAAACGCAACTCTCACAAAATAAAATAATAAAATATGTGAGAGTCAAATTTAATGCTCATAGCCCACAACAACAAACACAGTGTGTATCAAATTTAACTCTCAAAGCTAATACAGATGGTTTTTAAATTTCTTACCAAACGAAATTGCAAGGTAAGGTGAGAGTTAATTATGACGCTCGAAGCAGTCAACTTGTTAAGGAAATCAGAACGGGCCACCGATATGTTTTCAGTGTGGGATCCCGGGACACATAAAAAGAAACTGTAATACCTTTGTACAAAAAAACTAATAGTTCCGCAGATAACTGGGTCTGCACAGGAATACCAATACATTACCAGCAATATACCTTTAAATAGCGTCAAAGATACATATACAAATAATACTATTTATACTTATTATGATAATAATAAAGGAAAAATTAAAATAGAAATACAAGGAAAAATAAATAACAAAACTACTACATTGTTTTAGATACAGGGACGAGTATAACAGTCAGAAACAAAAATACTATTAAATGTAATAAATTAACTTCCGACAGCGAACTCTACCTTGAAACAGCGAACAATTCTAAACTAAACATTCTAGGAACAACTGTGGCTCAGATAAAAATAGGAACAATAGTAATAAATCATAAAATAGTTATAGTTGACAATCTATGTACACCTGTAATAATAGGATTAGACATAATGAAAAAAATTAACACAATTTTAGATTTAAAAAATAATTTAATAACGTTTAATTATAAAGGAACAGAAGTAAAATTAAAAATTGAGCAGGAAGACAAACCAATAAATACCTTACAAGACACAAAAAATATTACTCAAAATGAGCAAAAAATTAATTAAATTAAGACTTCAAAATGAATGCAGGGATTGCCCAGCAATTTAAAGAAAGATTCCAAGATGTAGACGTATTAAAAGCACAGAATAAAAATCTTACAGAAATAGCATTTTTAAAGATAAATAAACAATGGATTTTTTTATATTTATTAACAAAACGCGCATATAATGATAAACCCACCTATGAGACATTTTTAACACACTACAAAATTTCAAACGGTTTTGCATAAATCAATCAATACATAATTTGGGACTACCCAAAGTTTGTTCAGGGCTAGATAAAAAAGACTGGGGGCTTTAATTTCAAAAATGATTAAATTCACGTTTCAAAATACAGATATAACAATAACAGTTCATAAATTAGAGTCCAAGCATAAAATAGAATATGAATCAATAGCAACAATGCCGGAAACAAGTGATGAATCAACAATAAATATAATAGTTAATTCACATGATACAGAGGAATTATTACGATACACCAATAGATTCTAACTTAAATAAACAAATTAGCATCTTATCTTGAAATTACAGAACAAACACCGGCTGATGGAGATTGCGCGGGGTGAATGCGTTGAAAGTTTGTTTAAAAAACGAAGGACTACACTAGACAACGCTAGAAATCTTAAATAACATAGGAATACCAAGATGTAGATCGGGTTACTAACTCATAGATGACAATCATGCATATTTGGCTGATAAATATAATAAAAATTTAATTATTATAAAAGGGTATGACGAAATAAACAGTAAAACAATAAAACAATAAAACAGTAAGCCAAACCGATCATTTATAGGAATATTTCACAAGGACAATCATTGGACTCCGGGTAAAAATAAACACTAATAATTAAATATTAACCTTACGCAATATGATAGTATTTGCAGTAACACCTGACGTGCAAACTATAAAAGAACAGAGAGAACAACACATAAAAAGCAGCAACACACAGCAAAATATAAAATACGACGGAATGGATATTACACAAAACGGATTTGATGAGTTAACACATTATGTAGA